TAAATAAATAAAGTCCGCCTGACTTCTGAACCACATATGTACAAAACAGACTCCAAGTAAAAGATGACTGAGATTTGAGCTGTCACCCAAGAGATAGAATCTACAGTTTGATTCCAACCAAGTTAGTTGGTATAACAAAAGTCAATAGTCTTTAGAGGAATATAGTAGAATACAGAATTTCCACAACATAACACTCACAATATGAAAGACATAATCCAATATTACTCAATATTTGAAAGAAAAACAAATGTGATACATTTTCAGTGAAAATAATATCAACGGAGATTAATTTTGAGATGACTCAGATGTTAGAAATAGCAGATGAGAATTTTAAACTATGTATAACTACTATAACTATGCTCAGGTATTTAAAATAAAATATGCTTGCACTTATCGCAAAAAGAGGAAGAAACAGCATGGAAACAAGCAAAAATAACACAACAAAATGGAAATCCCAGAACTGAAAATACAGTATTGAAAATTTTTAAATTGCACAGGAAGGGTTCAATAATAACATGAAGATGACAGAGGTCAATGAACATGAAGATAAACCAATAAAATTATGTGATCAGAAGAATAGATAGCAAAATGATTAAAAACATGAACAGAGTCTCAGGGACCTTTGAGCCAGCATAAAAAATTCTTATGTATATTTATTCAGAGTCTCAAGAGGAAAGGAGAGAGATAATAGTGAAGAAATAGCCTAATATTTACACAAGTATTTGATTTTTTAAAAGATGCTAAAGCAAGACACTGGGAAATAAAAGTCTTCAATAAATGGTGCTGAAATTAATAGATATTGATACTGAACAAAATGAACTCCAAACCATGAACCATACCATACACGAAATATAATTCAATTAATTTGAATTATAGTCCTAAACATAAAAGCTAAAACAATAGATCTTTTAAAGAAAGGTATAGGAGAATATTTTCATGACCAGCTGGTAGGCAAAGATTTCTTAGACAAATCATATATTGTTATTCATAAAAGAAAAAACACATCAAAATGAAAACTTATGTTCATCAAAAGACATCACTGAGGAAATAAACAGAGAAGCCAAAGATAAATATTTTCAAAATATATATCTGATAAATGGCTCTTATCTAGAATATGTTAAAAAAAACCCTTATAACTCAATAATAATATAACCCAAGTTAAAATTAATTAATGTCGTCGAATTAATTTAAATGGGAGGCCAGCGTCAGATGGGGACAAATCAATTCTTGGAACCAGAACAAACTCTCCCTCTGCAGATCTGGTTAATACTTCAGCTTCAATTATGTTAGGTCATAATCTTTTGATAATAAATCTGGTACCATTACAAAGACCCCATTTACTATTGAGATTTCTCAATAGCATGATGATTGCACCCACTTTCAATTTTAATTTATAACAGGGCTTTCCCGAAGGAGTAATACTATTAAGAAATTCGATGGGAAAATTTCCCTTTTCGGCATCATCTGTTGAGTCAACGGACTCATCACTCAAATATGTGTGAAAATCTCCATCGAGTATATCCAAAATTTCTTCATTTAATTTTTGAACATGCTCAATTTTTGGACAAAGAATTGCACGTTTAGATATTTTTTTAATATTATCTATAGATATAATATTTCCAAAGGTAGAAGGAGAACTTTCCCACCAAATGCAACATCCAAATTCATAATTTCTCTTAGTAATCTGTCTATGGCGTTTATAGCATGACTGGATGCCATGGTGCATTCATCAATAATAAGAAGTTGGGCCTTTTTAATGATTTTAGCAACTTCGCTCTTTATATCGAGTCTAGAAATTAAAGTTTCATTTAATGGAATTGGTAATTTGTATTGGGAATGAAAGTTTCTTCCATCAAGAAGTAAATTTTCAGCAATTCCTGTAGATGCTGTGGGTAAAACAGTACCACCACGACCTCTAATATAATGTGTTAAAACATTATACATATATGTTTTTCCACTACCACCTGGACCATCCAAGAAAAAGCATTTGGGTGTACAGTTTGATCTTCAATGGCTGAAGTTGTAGTCTGAAAGGCTGCCAATTGTTCATCATTCAGAGAATTTATCAAAACCTCTGCCCGTTGTTGCTCATACAATTGATCACATGTATTTGCATTCATTAATAAAGGATAGTCCGAAAGTTTAAAATGTGAACATTTCATTCCATGCAATTAGCATCTTTGTCTTTTATTAGTGTAACTAGGGATTTAAGATGCACAGATGCACACATCTGTCAAAATTCAGAGATTGTATACTTAGAATTTGTGTAATTCCCTGTATGTAAATGTTATGATTTTTTAAGTTTAAAAAATACTGGTCTCTCAAATTGTTTTGAACAGGTTTTGGCAGCCTATGGCCTGACAAAGACTGAAGTAATGCAGTGGTGGAAATGGCCCAGACTTTAAAGCTATCCAGGCATAAGTCTGAATCTTGGCTCAGCCATTAGGCTGTGAATCCTTAGACAAGTTACTTAACTTTTCTGTTTATTTATCTGCAAAAAGGAAGCAGTAACACAATGCTCAACATGTAATAAGTGCTCCATAAATAGTACCAAATGATAAACTGACATTGGAGATGATTACAGGTCACGGAGCCAAAGGTGGTATCATTGCACATCTCATAGATGCCATTTCAACCAACGTGTGTTAGCCTACTGAGGGTTATGTATAAATCACCCCAGGGATAGTCGTGTTTTCATAAGGTCCCCTGAAGATTAAAATGTTATAAAAAGTAACCCCTCTCCTTCCCATGGTGTGAATGAATGAAGAGTTGGAAAAAAATGCTTGGCAGATTGGCTCTCAGTTCCCTGAGCTGCACTCACCTCAGGGTCTCTACCATCTTCATAGGAGCGAATGCTGAAGATCATGCCTTCAAATGTGTGGTCCACGTGCAGGACAGCCAAAGCCAGGCTGGCCACTGTCAGATTTGCTGTCCTCCCCAAAAACTCCATCTTGTGACCGGCATGGTTGATTATCCTCAGAATTCTGCAAGAAACACCAGGTAGAGAAGAACATTCCTACCTTTTAAATATAAAAACCCATCCTCCTTATAAGATTTCCTAAGTGTGAGATTTTTCTTTGAGTTTTAATCACTATCTTCATTTTGTTAAGGAATTATTAGATAGGAGCCTTGGCTTTGCACTCAGACAGAAGGTCTAAATCTTAGCTCCTCTGATTTCTAACTATGTGGGCAAATAAAATAACATCACTGAGTTTCCATTTCCTCACCTGTGAAGTCAGAGTAATACTAGCACTCATCTCAAAAGATTGTCTTAAAGATTAAATAAAACCATTGTATGTAAAGCCAGATCATACATGGCCTCATGGGCCAAGACATTTGGATTTTTTTCTACATGTAACAGAAAGCCACTGTGTAGTTTTAAAAGCAAGATAATGACATGATATGATATATACACTGAAAGATCATTCTGGCTGGTATGTAGAAAATAGACAGAGAGAGGCAAGAGCAGAACAGAGAGACCAGTTTGCAAGTTACTATAGAAAGTCAGATGAGAGAAATGGAGCTAGGAATAGGAAAGTGGTGGTAAAGACAGAGAGTAGATGGATTCCAGGAATATTTAAGGGATTTAAAAATTATGTACAGCCCTGGCTGGTGTGGCTCAATTTGGTTGGACATCCTCTGGTGCAGCAAAAAGTTGCTGGGCCCATTCACAGTCAGGGCACATGCCCGGGTTGCAGACTTGATCCCTGGTAGGAGGCAGCTGATCAATATTTCTCCCTCACATCTATGTTTCTCTGCCTCTCTTTCTTCCTTCCTCTCTCTCTCTCTCTCTAAAAAAAAATCAATAAAATTTTTTTTAATTTAAAAAACTATGACCCTACCCAGTTTGGCTCAGTGGATAGAGCTTTGGCCTATAGACTAAAGGTTTGATTCCAGTCAAGGGCACGTACCTAGTTTGCAGGCTCAATCCCTGGCCCTGGTCAGGGTATGTGCGGGAGGCAATCAATCAATGTGTCTCTCTCACATCAATATTTCCTCTCTCTGTCTCGCCCCTCCTTTCCACTCACTCTAAAAATCAATGGGAAAATATTCTTGGATGAGGATTAAAAACAACAAATTATGTGCAGCGCCTCATACAAGACTTGATTACTTGTTGGCTGCAAGGTAGAGGGAGGTACGTAGCTTTATTTTTAATATTTTTTGCTTGAACACTGGGTGGAAGCATTTTATAGAAATGGGGAACTTTGGGGAAGCACCAGCAGTGGGGAAATAGATCCGAGGTTTGGTTTGGGTAACTATTTATTTGGAAAGTCATTCTCATTAAGGTTCCGTTAAATTTTGAATGCATTCTTTCACAGCTTAGTATTTAATGCATAGCTATGTGACCTTTAAAATTGGTGATTACTATATGTGAAAGAATTAATAACAAATAGTATGAAACAATTTATTTTACCAAAGTATTAGTACTTACTCATTGCTTACTTCATGTAGATCAGATACTGAATTGTTTTGCTTTCCCAAAACAGCATCGATTATTTGTAATATAATCTTGGTTAGTTTCATACTTATCTCATCACATTGTGAAATATCAGATAATTTAGAAACAATAATCGTTGTTTCTTCCTCATCCAGAGAAGGGGACTCATTGATCAAATTTAAAATGTGCTTAGCAACATCATCTGCATTCTCTGGAGAAACAAAATAGAAATGGAAAACCTGCTTTAGTTAGTTTGGGGCCATACTGCTTCATTCTCTTTGAAAAGTAAAGGTAGTGAAATGCAAATACACATAACATAACAAAGTTTACAGAAGGAAAACAATGGACCTCAATTTCTACAATAGATGGAGTCTCAGAAAGTAGCACATAAGTCAAGCTCTTATTCATTAAATCCTATTTTAAATACACCAGAGAAACCTTTTTGTCACTGAAGAATCATACTGCAATCAGATTTTAATTAATTTAAGACTTTTAAAATATTTTTATTGATTTTTAGAGAGAGAGGAAGGTAGATGGAGAGAGAAACATTGATGTGAGAATGAGACATCCATCTGCTGCCCCCTGCATACCCCCTACCGGGGATCAAACCCACAACCCCAGCATGTGCCCTGACCTGAATTGAACTGGCAACCTTTCCCTGCATGGGGTGATGCCCAATTAGCTGAGCCACATTAGCCAGGGCAAGTTAAGACTTTTGAATATTGGATTGAGTTAAGTAGATCCCACTTTTACTCAAATATCAACAAACACTCAGTCTATGCTTTCATAATCAAGGGTGGTAGTGACTGTTTTTCTGTCAAGAACCAGCAGCCCACAGAAAAAAAAAACCAAACATGAACCACATAACAATAAAAAGTAACTTAATTTAGATTTTTTTCTAGAGAGTAAGAATACTGGATATTAACTCATTCACTTTTCTTCATTTTTTGTTATGGAAATTTTCAAATATGCACAAAAGTAGAAAGAAGAGTCTAATGAATCCCCACGTACTTCATGAATCACCTTACTTCAACAAGTGTCAATGAAGAGCTAATCTGATTTAATCTATACTCCCACCCACCTTCCACAAACCCAAATTATTTTAAAGAAAATTCCAGGCAGCATATAATTTTATCCATAAACACTTCAGTATGCATCTCTAAAACAAAGGACCTTTGCTTATCATAACCACAATACAAATAACACTCAAAATCATCAAATATCCACTCAGTACTCAAATGTCCTTAATTGTCTCATAAATGCCTTTTTAAAATAGCTTTTGTTGGAGGAAGAAAAATTGTGGCCAAACAGGCAGACGTGTTCTGCACCTTGTCCCGGAGCAGAAGAAGGAGCAACTAAATCAATGATGGCGAACTTATGACACGCGTGTCAGAGGTGATGCGAACTCATTTTTTTGGTTGATTTTTCTTTGTTAAATGGCATTTAAATATATAACAGAAATATCAAAAATATAAGTCTTTGTTTTACTATGGTTGCAAATATCAAAAAATTTCTATATGTGATACGGCACCAGAGTTAAGTTAGGGTTTTCAAGATGCTGACATGCCGAGCTCAAAAGGTTCGCCATCACTGAACTAAATCAAATAACATCCACCCAAAATTGGTGAATTAGACACAGCTGGTGAGGTAATTCACAGCCAGGAAGGACAGAGGATGCCTGGAGAATGGTAGGATCAGGGATCTGGGCTGGAGAGAGATGCATGACCACCGGGCCATGAGGGTCAGGAGAAAGCTGCACTGCACCAAGTCCGAGTCCATTGGGACCAGGAATAACATCCAACTGTGGAAAGGAAGTCCACAGGGCTGCTGGTGGCAGGGGTTTCTAGATCTAAGTCCACAGCCATGAGAAGCTGCTCCCAGAAAGGCAGCCTGAAGAGCTGCCTGAGCCATGCACTGCCAGGGGGAGAGAAACTCACAGTCACATGGTTGGTTTGCCTTTGTCTTGTCTTTGCTTTTACTCACTAAACCCAGTTCATAGGACCTTTCAATTACAAACACTCACCTAAGGCTGTGGTGCAGATAGAGGTGCAAATTTGTAGAGTCTGAGGAGAGGCAGTGAAGGAGAGCATAACAGGGAGAGGTGACCAGGAACCCAGCACTGAGTCTTTCCTGACCCTCCAAACCTAAGCAGCCATTTTTCTCCTGAAGAGCCAGCCCCTCCCAGCAGCCTCAAGACAACTAATACAGCCACATCCAGCCTACACCATGAGCTTTTCAAAGGAAGCAAAGACTCTGCAAAAACAGTGAAACTAGACCACCAACTTACACCATACACAAAAATAAACTCAAAATGGATAAAAGACTTAAACATAAGATGGGAAACCATAAAAATCTTGGAAGGATCCATAGGCAGCAACATATCAGATATATGTCATAGCAATATCTTTACTGATAAGCTCATAGGACAACGGAAACTAAGGAGAAAATGAACAAATGGCACTACATCTAAATAAACAGCTTCTGCACAGCAAAAGAAACCATCAACAAAACAATAAGAGAGCCCACTGCATGGGAGAACATATTTGCCAATGTAATATATGATAAGGGTTTAATCTCACAAATTTATAGGGAACTCATACAACTTAACGAAAGATAAACAATCCAATCAAAAAATGGGCAAAGGACCTCAATGGACACTTTTCAAAAGAGAGACATATGAAAACATGCTCAAAATCATTAACCATCTGAGAGATGCAAATCAAAACAACAATGCGGTACCATCTGATACCTGTCAGAATGGCTATCATCAACAAATCAACAAATGACAAGTGTTGGCGAGGATGCAGAGAAAAGAGAACCTTCTTTCACTGCTGGTGGGAATGCAGACTGGTGCAGCCACTCTGGAAAAAAGTATGGCTATAATCTCACTCATTTATGGAATATATTGAACAACATAAACTGATGAACAAAAATAGAACCAGAAACATAGAAGCATTGAACAGACTGTCCAACCTAAGAGGAAAGACAGGGTGTGAAGGGGTAAGAGATCAACCAAAGTACTTGTATGCATGCATATGAGCATAACCAAAGGCCACAGACAATAGGGGAATGAGGGCATGTGTTGGGGGGTGGGGTGGCCAGAGAGAGGTCAACGGGAGGAAAAGGAGGCTCATGTAACACTTTAACAATAAAGAACTGAAATTAAACACACAGACACACACACGCACACACACACACAGACACACACACACAGACACTCAGAGACACACAGACACACACACACACACAGACACTCAGACACACAGACACTCAGACACATAAAAAAGAGGGTACTCTTACCTTTTGCAACAGCATGGATGGACCTGGAAAGCATTATGCTAAGTGAAATAAGCCAGTCAGAGAAAGATAAATATCACACAATCTCACTCATTTGTGGAATGTAATGAACAACATAAACTGATGAACAAAAATAAATCCAGAGACACAGAAGCATCGGACAGACCATCCACCCTCAGAGGGAAGGCAGAGGGGGGTGGGTGGGTAAGAGATCAACCAAAGGACTTGTATGCATTCATATAAGCATAACCCAAGGACACAGACAGCAGGTGGGTGAGGGCATGTGCTGGGGGGGGGGGAGTGAAACAGCTGAGGAGAGGTCAATGGTGGAAAAAGGAGACATATGTAATACTTTAAATAATAAAGATTTTTTTTAAAAAACTGAAAGCATCACTAAATATATCTATCTATATATAAGAGCCTAAGCAACTGTTATGACCCGACGACCAGTCACTGTGATGTGCACTGACCATCAGGGGGCAGACACTCAACGTAGTAGCTGCCCACTGGTGGTAAGTGTGCTTCCACAGCCAACCTCCTGCAGCCGATTAACCTCCCATGGTCCCTCCCCTGGGCTGGCCGGCCTGATCGGCCCCTATTGGGATTGGGCAAGAAGGCTCCTATTGCCTCTGTCACCTGCCAGGCTGAGGGACCCCACCCGTGCACAGATTCATGCACCGAGCCTCCAGTAGTAATAGAATAGGTATGTAACTTGTGGAACTTCATAGGCTAAATAATCCTTTCTAGAAGAGAGGGCAATATGGTAAAGAACAAGGGTCTGGATCCATGCAGACCCATCTGACTTCTGCCCCCAACTCCTTCTCTTTGACCCTGAGCAACCTACACCTGCCATGTGGGTCAGGGATGGGAGGGCACCCTTACAGCAGAAAGACTAGCAGGCAGTGCCTGAAGCAATGCAATAGGAAATAAGTATCACTGTAGTATTCTTGCCAAAGATTGCTGGAAGCAATCAGAACAAGATTATAGCATATTCCACCAAAAACAACAGGCCTGGACTCTTCAAACATCAGTTTCATGAAAAAGGAAAAACAGGAATGCTTTTCTATATTAAAAGAGACTAAAGATGTGTGGCAACCAAATACAACAAATGATCCTTGACTGGACCCTGGATTTTTTAAAAGCAAAAAAGGACATTTTGGTAATGACAAGGGAAAATGTGGATGTGTCTTTATGTTAGATGACATTATTATAACAATGTCACACAGGTTGGTTGTGTTAATGGTGTTTTGGTTATAGGTGAGAATATCTTGTTCTCAAAAATAAAGTTTAAATATTCAGGAAAAAATAAAATAGCTTTTGTTTGAATCATTGCCTAATTTCAAAGTTAAGAGCTTTGTTAAACTAAATACAACACTAATTAGATTTTAGTTCAACATAACACATATAAAGTTGCGCTCCCTTGTGGTACCCTCCTAGCTTAAATCATTCACATTCAAGTCCAGTAACCAAATATAATGAAAAATAATTGAAAAATATGATCTGTTGAGAAAAATTTCAGAGAGATATGCTCATAACACTCTTAACCCAGGTTACATTACAAATAGCCAACTCTGTTTGGGAAAACAAAATAATAAAGCTCTGAATCAACTTTTTTCACTATTAATGCAAATTAAGGAATCTTAACTGAGATCTTCTCAATTTCAATCTCTCTCCTGCTCTTAACCATCACTTCACTCTGTGCAACTATGTCTTACATAGGAACTGAGTAGGCAGAAAGTTCTCTCTGAGGGGATGAAAGGAAGAGGGGAGATTGAGTAAGGTTGTACTAATTTCTTCTAAATTAATATTTTGTCCTTGTTATATCTATCTTCTGATCTGTTAAAGAATATGAGAAAATAATAAGACTAGAGATGGAAGAAAAATACAGAGTGTTCACTCACAGATCTTTCCACT